CACTTTTTCCTTCACCATATTGAAGGAAATCAAGTTTGGGCTACTCTCAATGATGATAGGGGTGCAAATGGATCAGATCATGATCCGACCCGATTTGATCCTATTTGGTTGAATTCGGATCACCCTTATTCAGATCTTCGGATCATATAATAGGAGAATCACCCCTATCCGGTCCAATATATGTTATATATTTATAAATATATATAATACATATRTATGTTATTTATTTATATATAAATATTTTTTATATTATATTTTTATAAATTTGTTATATTATTTGTTTTTTTATAAAAGATATGTATATATATGATGAAAATAATTAAAAAAGACTTGTACTATTTTGTTTTTATTTTATTCAAATTAGTATATTTTATTTCTCTTCTAATAACTTATTAATTAAAAAAATAAGTCGGATCAGATCAAATCCAAAGATCCAACTTAATAATATGATTCAAATTCAAATCTAGTCCGWTAAGATCTTCAGATTGAATTCAACATGAACAATGTCAAATCGAATTCAAATATACCATGATTCAAATTCAATCCGATCCATTTGCATCCCTACTCAATTGACAAAGTTTAGGTGAAAGAGAAAGATAATGGGAGAAAGTTTTTGTGTCATACCAGCCAACGATTACAAGCAACATATATACAAAGTTCCCCCGCAAGAATATCGGCTAACAACTAGGAAACAAATCAYTGACTCCTATAATTATGGTAACTAAAACCAAATTTACAGCTATCCTAAATTGGCACAAAGATTATATCCTAAAATATACATGAAGATATACGATGAATCTCAATACCCCCCTCAAGTTGATRCATGCAAATGGGAAATGCCCAACTTGCAAAGAAAATGTTYGAATTGTTGCTTGCCCAAAGCCTTTGTAAATATATCAACAAGCTGCTCGGAGGTYCGGACATAGGAGGGCCATATGTTCCCATTCTGAATCTCACCACGAACGAAGTGACAATCCACTTCAATGTGTTTCGTTCTCTTATGGAAGACCGGATTCGTGGCAATATGCAAAGCTGCCTGACTATCACAGTATAATCTCATAGGATCAGGATGATCAACTCCCAATGAGTACAACAACCCTTTCAACCATTTCAATTCACATGCAGTTGTTTCCATAGACCTGTATTCTGCCTCAATCGATGATCTGGACACTATATGCTACTTCTTCGTCTTCCACGAAATTGGTGCTTGTCCCAATAAAACAAAATATCCAATGGGAGAATGTCGTGTCAATGGACAACTGGCCCAGTCAGAATCACAATAAGCATACAATCGAAGATCACTGTCAGCTGGAAGGAAAATTCTCTGTCCCGGATTACCTTTCAAATATCGCACTACACGTAAAGCCACCTCCCAATGCTCTTCGCGGGGAGTCTGCATAAATTGAGCGAGCACATGCACACAACAGGACAACTCAGGATGGGTGCTTGTCCCAATAAAACAAAATATCCAATGGGAGAATGTCGTGTCAATGGACAACTGGCCCAGTCAGAATCACAATAAGCATACAATCGAAG